CTGCAGGTGTGGCTCAAGTGAAAAAAAGAAGGAAGGAAGAAGAGAAGGAAAGAAAGGAAGGAAAGAAAGGACAAAAAGAAAATTGTGCCATCTGTGGCAAACGTGATGAACCTGGAGGCATTGTGCTTAAGTGAAATGAGAAAGGCAAATGCCACACTCATAGAGACAAGGATCAAACAGGGGCCAGGGTTGCGGGAAATGGGAAGAAGGTCTGAGGGCATCCACTTTCAGTTACAAGATAAGTAAGTTTTGAGAATCTAGTGTAAAGCATGGTGACCATAGTTCACAATACTGTGTTGTGTATTTAAAATTTGCTTAGAAAGTGCATCTTGAGGTGATGGATGTGTTAACCAATTTGAATTTGGTAATCATTTCACAACAGGTATGCGCATCAAGTAAAAAGAAAGAAAAGAAAAGGCATGGAGGAAGCGGTCATGCACACTCCTTAGTGGAAGAAGCAAGCTGAAAGGCACTGATATTTTGCAAAAGGTGAGAGGTTTGGGAGGAAGATAGAAAGAGGGAGAAAGAGGGAGGAAGAGGTGGAGCACAGGGGATTAAACCCATTCTGTATGATACCATATTGGTGGGTACAAGACTTTAGACTTTGGGCAAAATCTATTGTGAAATGTGTAAATAATGATGTATCAATATCGTTCTCCAACTATGACAAACATACCACACTAATACAAGATGTTCATATTGGGAAACTGAGAGGGGAAGTATGTGGGAACTTTGTTTACTATCTGCAAAATCATCTATAAATTTACACTTCTCTAGAAAGTCTATTAGTATTTTTTAAAAGCGAGAGAAATTGTAAGCAGTCAATGAGGTTAGTTGTCCAACTGGTCAATAAGAAAGTTAATATAACATTTAATGAGAAGACCTTGGGTTCAGATGTAATCTAGTTAAATCATTCAGTAGTTATCTTTGACCAGAACTGTCTGCTATAAGGCCATATTGGAAATAGCTATGGTCTCCATGCAGTTAGGAGCAACAATTGAAATAAGCCAACACTGATGTAATCCAAGGGCAAATAATACATAAAGATAACACTGCTTAACACTGCATGTGTATCATTACAACCTGTGACTCCCTCAGATCTTGTTTTAACTTCACAAAACTTACTCTGTCTGAACTTTGAAATCTCAGCAGGGTTTTGTCCAACTGGTAAAAGGCAGACTAGGATGTCCACAGAGAAATAAAGACATAATTGTTTATGCCAATTTAAGTTGCCCTAGCTGGTGTTTACAGAAGAGACAGGCTGCCTGCCTTATATTTCGTTATCTATGCCTCATGCCCTTTTCATTTATACGTCTGGGTGAGATACCTTCTTGCTTCATAATACTTTTCAAAGACTGCTTTGAACCTTGCAGGTTGATCTCCATGACCAGCAGGAGACCAAGGAGCCAAAGGAATTCCCAACCCAAGGTTTCATGTTTAGAATTCTTACTTAATTTTATAGTCAACATTCCTATATCTTTGATAAGAAACTGGTTTTGGGGGTTTTGTTGGTGGTACTGGGGTTTGAACTCAGGGCTCCATACTTGATAGGCAGGCACTCTACCACTTAAGCACTCTGCCAGCTGATAAGAAATCGAAATACACTAAGATACTCATAATAAATAATGGTTTTAATTCTTAGATGGGTTGCAGTGAGTGGAGGAGGTTTCCTGATCCCCCAACATTCCCTTCCTATAAAAACGTGGAGGAAAAACAAGACTTTCAAAGGCTTGCACTCAAATCTTACGATATCTAATTCGGTTCTCTTTTCACAAAAGTATGCAATCTTTATATTATTCAAACGCCTTCCAGGTACTCTATCCTGATAAGTAGGAGTAAGGGATATCCAGACCTTGGAGCCTGGCTCTCCCAGGTCTACAAAAGCCATTACTTGGCTCCACTTTTTTAATGTTTGGGTGTTTTGTTTTGTTTTTTAACTTTAAAAGTAACAATAATTGTAGGAAATTTAGCAGAAGAAAAAGCAGGTGGAGTTAGAGTTGGGAGAGGAAGAGGACAGGAAGGAAGCAAGGCAGAAAGGGAGGGGGGGAAGAAAACAAGAAAGCCATTTACAAGCCATTCACGACTGAGGAAATTATGTGTCAGCATTTTAGCACTTATCCTCACGTGGTAGGACGCGTAATATTCTCATACACACTGTCATAGCTTGCCTCTATTTCTACTTTATATCTTAACATGGGGGGTAATCCAGCTAGAGGTAGAAGGTGGCAGACGCAGGCTCTGAAACTAGCCTGCCTGCTTACATCCCAGCTCCCCTTCTTATTAGCTGTGTGATCCTGAGCAGGTTACTCAACCTCTCTGTTATTCCTGTTTTCCATCTATAAAACAGAGATAATAATATAGAAATTACTTCTTCATAGGGTCCCTTCTGGAAATAAATGGCTTAATGTAGTTAAATCACTTACAACAGTGTTTGGAACAAAGTGTACTCTATATTAAGGATTGGTAAACCTTTTCTATAAAAGGTCAGAGAGTAAATTCTTAGGCCTCAAGGTTTTCTGTTGGACTATTCCATGAAGCCTCTGTAGCATAAAAATGGGTGTGGCTGGATTCCAATAAAGTTTTACTGACACTGAATTTGAATCTCATATAATTTTCACATATCATTAAATATTCTAATTTCTTCATCCACTGAAGAATGTAAAACCATTTTAGCTTGTGGGACACATAAACTCAGATAGCGGGCTGCCTTTGGGCCATAGGCTGCTGACCATCGCTCTGTGGAATTTGTAGGCATTCCTACAATGTCTAAAATGTTTTTATGAGTATATGATAGTTGTACAGGGGGTTTCACTGTGATATTTCCATATGTGTTTACAATGTACCCCGGTTTGCTTCATCCGCTCCACTATTCTCCCTCTTCCCCAGCCCCCTTTTAAAATGACTTGGACAGGTTTCAATGTTCCATATTCATATATGTGTAGAAAACACACCCTCCTTTATCCTCTTCATTTACTCTCCCCCTCTTGCTATCACCCTACCCTTGACATGACCTTTATAAAAGTCCTGTTCTTCATTGTCTAAGTGTCTACTGAGTGTTCAGTGAGGTTTTGCCTTGATATTTTACCTGTAAATACAATGTACTTTAATCAGTCTAACCCCTCTATTACTCTTCCTCACCCTTTCCCCATACCCTTTATTGTTCAAGTTCCAGTGTGTTTTGCTGTATCTTGTTCCTACATAGATGTGATGTATTTCAATATTATCAATTCTCTAATATTCTCCTCTCACTACTGGAAATGCCTACAATATATTTCTATAACTTATTTTTAGTGGCTGCTGAGGAAAAGATCGTTTGGATGTTCTATAATTTTATTAATCCCCCATGGTTAGAATTTAGGTTATTTCCAATTCATTATTATAAGCCATCCTCCAATGAACACCATGTAGTGAACTCTTTGGGCACCTTAAATGTATTTAGTAGTGGCCACCAAAAAGTTGGAGGGCATCTAGAAAGACTGTGAAGAAATAGCTTTGAAAACTAATCCTGTATAGTTAGCATAAATTTCAGACATGTTAGAGATTTATAAATATACTATATACTCAGCTACATAGAACTTAAACACTCCAAAACCATACTAAGCCCTTTATATGTATGATACCATTTAACTCTTAGAACAATCCTGTGAGGTCCAAGTGCAAGCTCCATTATTATCAGCATCCCCATGTTACAAGGCTAAGTAATTTCTCCAAGGTCACACAGTGTATTAATCAGCTCTGTCATTGTGACAAAACACCTGAGTAATCAACTTAAAAGAAGAAAAAGTTTATTTTGGCTCATAATTTCAGACCCTGGCTGATTGGTAGGAGTTGCCTTTTGGGCTTGTGGCAGCACAGGACATCATGGTAGGGAGATGCTCACTTCATAGCAACTGGGGAAATAAAAAAAGAGGAGGAGGAGGCTGGGAGCCAGTGGCTCTCTCCTGTAATCCCAGCAACTCAGGAGGATCCTGATTTGAAGACAGCTGGGGCAAATAGTTCCAGACCCTATTTCAAAAACACCTATCACAAAAAAAGAGCTGGTGGAGTGGCTCAAAGTTTAGTCCTTGAGTTCAAGCCCTAGTACTGAAAAAAAAAAAAAAGGCAGGGCAAGGTCCCAATATCCCCTCCAAAGGCACACCCCAGTGACATATCTTCTTCCCACAAAGCCACACCTCTTAAAGGTTCTTCTACCCCCAATAGTACCACAGGTTGGGGACCGAACCACCCATGCATGGTCCTTTGGGGAACAGTCCAGATCCACACTACAGCACACAGCAAGCTGGTTCAGAGACAGGGTTCAAACCTGGTATGTGTGGCATGACAGCCCCTGTTCTTGAACACCAGGCTGCACCCCTCTTTACTAGGGATCTGTGACTACGGTTACACTTCCAGGTACTCACTTTACAGGGCACCTTCACACAGTGGCGGCTCTTAGATCACGTTTGGCACACATGAAAGACCTCATACTCCAAAAACCGATGCAAATTCCATCACACATGGGACAGTTGTGGAAAATCCCCACTTAACCCTTTTTTTTTTTGGCTTACAACCTTCCCCCACCAAGGCCAACTCTTCAATACTTTTGATATCTTTCCTCAAATCGTTGTCCAGTAAACAGTAAACATTGGCGCATATTCTCATTCTTATTTCCTAATTACTGGTTCCAAATCTACCAACTCGAAATGGCAAATTCAGGTGGGGGTTTGCCTACAATAGAGGGCCTTGCATGCACCCTTTGAAAGCAAAAGTGGTGGCAGTGCCTGGCGTGGCCTCCGGGGAGGCGGTGGCAGCAGGAGCAGGAGGAGGAGAGGCGCTGGCTCCTCCATGGTCCCTACCGCGGGCGTCCTGCGTCCTGGTTCCCGGGGACCAAGCGTCCATCCTCCGCCTCCAGACACAGGCGCGGGCTGCGCGCTCCTCCCGCCATTCCCTACTTGTGCTGAGTTGCAGGCGAGGGTCCCAGGAAGGAGTTCTGCAAGTGGGTCGTTCATCTTGGAGGGAGATGAAGGTTCTGGTTCTCATTTCCTACCCCGGTTTCTCTCTCCGCTTCCCGAGTTATCCCGTGGGGAAGAACAAACCCGGGGGCGCCGCGATGCCGCCCGCCCCCACTCATGCCCAAGCAAGGACGCGGGATTGAGAAGAAATCGGAGCAAGGAGGACGACAGCGCGCGTTTCGAACCCGCAGCGAAGGTGTGCGGACTCCGCCAGCAGCAGGACCGGCGGGCGTGCGGACCTTGCCTTGCCCCGGGCTCCGCCCGCCGGGAGCGCGTGCGGCCGGCGCGTGCGCGGTGCGGCCCAGCCCGGGTCACCACCGTCGCGATGCCTATTTTAGTCAAAGCCGCCGCGGGCGCGGGGACTGGCCCGACCGAGACTCGTGCCCGTCCGTGGAGTCGTCACGTCCGTGTCCGGGGTGTCCCCGGTGTCCCGCGCCGCCCGGGCTGCGTGCCTCGGACAAGCCAGGTAAGGGGCAGAGGGCGCAGCCGTCGCCGGCTCGCCCGGCGCGCTCCGGGCTAGATCGGGCCGGGAAAGTTGGGAGTTCCGCGGGAGCAACTTTGCCCGCCGGCCGGAGGATGCCCGGATTCCGCACCCCGGCCCCGGAGCGCCGCCCGTGGCCCCTCCTCGCCCGCCGCGCCTTCGCTGGGCTCCCGGCCTCGGGCCGCCCCTCTCCCGGATCAGGGCGCCCGGCCACAGGTCCTCGGGTCACGCAGCGCCGCTGTCCTCCACGCCCGGTCGCGGGCAGCCCCTTGCTGAACTTGGCCTCTCTCCATTGCGCCCTCCGCCCCCGAGCACAGCACCCCTCCTTGAGCTGGGGCGCCCACCCCGCGCTCCCCAGCGGCCCCTTCGTCACCTAGCTCGGTTGACCCGGGCCCCGGGGAAGCGCAGATCACTGGGACCAGTGGTCCTTGTCACTGATCCTGCACCATCATTATGAATTGTGGGAAATGGGTTGTTGGTCAGATGAGTTCCGCAAACTGCCGGCTTTGAAGCTGGAGTAAGTGTGAAAAGACACTTAGCAACATAGTGACATTTGCTGTTCCGAAGATGTGCAGAAAGACTGAGTTAGCAAAGCAGAATGAATTAAATCTAGTAGTGCTCTTACTCGGTACTGTTTTATCTTCATTTGTGTAATTTGGCGAAGCTTCACCATTCAGCTGTTCAGACTTGCACACACCTATTCGAAAATATAGGTGTCCTGGATTTTACTAGAACAATTAATTTAAGAGATTAGACTGAGGCTCCGATGAAAGATAACTTCTTTTGATTTAGTCAAAATTAATCTGAAAATTTACCAGTTCACCAGTCTAGCCTTCCTCGGAGAATGTATATTCTGTGTTTAAGGTTAGTTCATCGTAAGTCATTTAAATCCATTAAGAGGTAATCACACAAATAAACTGAATCCGGTAAGATCCTGATCAGTGTTTAATGACGGCCGGTAAGTGACATTTCACAAGACTCTCTTAAAATATGTGTGTGTGTGTGTGTGTGTATCTGTCTATAGCTGTATATATTTACTAAGTTGTGGTACGTTAAAATGTGTTTTAGGAAGACCCTTTTAAAAATTGTTACTACTGTTTTCTTGAATTGGTGGATTGTAGTTATCAATTCTCCGAGACTAGAAATTGATGCTTTTAGTGTCACTTTTAGAACTTTCAAAAGCCTGGAATTGAATTATAGTGGACTAGTTTTCTATGGAGGTGTAGTCAGGTGGCTATGAGAAAGAATATGTATTGATTAATTTGTTCTATAATTCTATACTAGAACTGTGGGCCACTAAAACTTGGAGTTTTAAACACCATGTAGTTCAGCTGCCTCTATTCCAAGGAGGAAGCGGAGGAATGGCAGCCCCTTTCCCTGGCTTATGTGGCTCCCTGGTGGCTTGTGAATAAACATCAACTCAACCTCAGGAAGGCAAGGCACTCTCCAGTCTTTACAACTGAAAGTGATTTCCAAAAGCCTCGTGGTTATGGCTCTTCCCGGATGGCTTCGGTCTCTGCCTGGTCTGCAGCAATCTCTTACCAAGGCCAGGCCTGGGAAGCAGGTAGATGAATAAATGTCATCCCTGCCTCCTAGAGGACATGGGATATTTGGAACAAATATAACAGGAGTGCAAACACATCCTAAAGTGCCAGTAGAAGTCATTACTAACTTATGTAATGCTAGGGGAGTTGACATTAGCTATGAGTTATAGAGGACATTTAATATCACTCTTTGTCCTGCAGAAATTATGAGATGAATTCTGACTTGACCCTCAAAAGCAAACTTGGTATATAAATGGAGTTATTAAGATAATGATTGCTCCCTCTCATCTCAATAGCCTTATATTTTTATTTATTCAGACTTTTGGAAAGTAGTTGAATTCTTAATGTCTTTTTTTCTTTTTACACAAAATCAGTATTTAAGACAACTATTGCTATTTGTGAGCTATTGCAGAATTTTATTAAGAGATCTTCAGTTGATCATTTAATTCATAGTTTATAAGTTTGTATTTTTTTTCATCTTTAGAAATCTGGAATTCTTTCAGCATCCTTTCAAAGTGCTCAGCCTACATCAATTATTCTGCCACTTAAAATCTTAAAGTATGTTGAAAACAATAAATAGAAAAGTAAGGTTAACTGAATGACCTTATTTTATTTATTTTCTTCTTTGTCTTTTATTAATAATGACATGTGACAAAAACTTAACAGTTCCCATAAAGTTCAGAAGTGTCCATCAAATTGCAATTGATAGGAATGACCTTATTTTAAATGAAAAACCTATTTCTAAATTAAATTTAAAGGTATTTTGAGTCCCCATTTGCCATTCTTTTCCTTAAACAGAATAATTTGTGCATTCTGTAAACCTACCCAATTTTCGTCAAGGACCAAATTTGTATAATTAATGATGAAGTTTTTTTGTGAAATAAGGACCAAGGGCAAGTAATACAGTCAGGAAGGAGTTCTACTTTGTGTTAAGTTTTATGTAAGCATGTGCAAAATGTACATTCCTTAAAATGGATCTTGGTACTAAATAGTGACGTATGTAACCGTGACCCCCTCCTTCATACAAGTAAATTCTCAGTTTACTACTTTTTAATTTGTGAGATGCTACAAACTAGAACCATTATAAGAATGTGAACAGATCTAAGTTAGACAATGAAAGAAATTTTAAATGTTATGTCTTGTATATGTATAAATGTTTATAGAAATGTATATAATTAAAGATGTACATATATGATTGTGTAGTATATATATGATACAATGACTTGATGGTGCAAAATAGAGCCTTCTAAATATACAAAGCCTTCAAATAGTAAATATGGATGTGTTTGTTCATTTTTAAGGTATTAAAAAAATCAGTTTTGGCAGTTATTTTTCCTGTGCTTGAATTCAGTGTCACCAGTGTCAATATGAAGGAAGACTATACTAAATAACTTTATAATTGCAATGATTTATGAAAATTGGTAGTTGTCTTTTAGACTTGTTAATTCACCTCCCTCCCCAAGTATGTATATACATATAATATGTAAACACATACGTGGATATATATTATCAGAGAATAGTTGTGCACTATGTGAAATATTTTATTTATTTCATTTCATTTAATCATAAGGCAAAGTAGGCATTATTATCACTTGACAGATAAAGAAATGGATACACTTAATATGTAACAGACCTGGGACTTGAACCTACCTAATTCTTAAGCACTAGAAAAGTCTGTTTACCAACATTCAATTCATAAGAATAATTTTGGTATAATACCTATCATAGGGTTGATAAGATAATTGCCATTTTTATGATTGTCCTTTTGTTTATTTGTTTTTATAGGAATTTTCAACATGAATTATACAGAATCCATCCCACTGACAGAATCAACTGTACTAGGTTTTACATCTGAGTTAGAAAGTATCATACCTGTGCCTTCCAATGAGACCACTTGTGAAAACTGGAGAGAAATACATCATCTAGTTTTTCATGTAGCAAATATTTGTTTTGCAGTTGGTTTGATTCTTCCAACTACTCTTCACCTTCATATGATACTTCTTAGAGGGATGTTAACCATAGGTAAGGCATCTGAGATTTTATGCAACTTTTTGGAAAACTGACATCAGATAGGCTTTGGATTGGGCTATACAGTATCCCTTGTCACGTTTATAGAATAACAAGAAATGTTACATCGTTGTTATCAAATTAGCAGACATCAAGTAACTTCGAACATAGCCCTTCTCATACTGTTTATCTCCCTTACTTATCTTGGTGTAAAACTATGTATGCTTTTATATAGTATTTAAGTTTTCTATATACCACAAAACCCATTCATATGTAAGAGGGTGGACTTTGGAGCAGATTGTGTGATTCCAGTCCTGGTTCCACTGCTTGCTAACTGGAATCGGACAAGTGGTTTAACTTTCCTACCATCTGTTTCCTCATGTGCCAAAAAAGGGTGAAAACAAAACCACTTTTTTTTCTGGGGTTATTGTGAGAATTAACTCAATGTATGTATTACATATATGACATATACTACACATATGTATATGTGTGTGTGTATATATATATAAAACATACTGTAAGCACTATACAGTCTCAACCATTAGTATTTGAAAAGACCGTACTTGGTGTGGTCAGTAAAGCAACATTGGGAATAAAGCCAATTACCCATACACAGTAGTTCAAATAAAAGAAGGTCAGGTATAAATATATTTGGCCCTAATAACCCTGACTAAGCAAGTTAAAATGATTCATATCAAAATAGTAATACAATTGCATCTATTACTTTAGCTAGTGATGCTTGACAAATTTTTCTGCATATGGTTCTTTCCCTGGCTGTCCATTTATTCAGGCATGTTTTTGACACCTGTAATATGTGAAAGAAAGATTAAGGAAGGCAGTTTCTGTCCTGTAAAAACAGATGGGCATTCATAGTGTGGAGTGTGGGATGCTGTGATGCAGGTGTGCACCCAGTGTCTAGGGAAGAGGAGAAGACGAGGTTGTGGCCCAGTAGGAGATGGAGCAAGGTCCCACCGAGGACATGAGAGTGCAGCAGCCTTTGAAAGATGAGCAAGATTTCTTGCAGTGTGAGCCTGGAGTACCCTAGAAAAGGGCACAGAAGAGAGGGAAATTCAGTGTAATGGGGTGACTGAAGAGTAGCTCTTTGTGCCTAAAATATATGAAAAATGACAAGAAGAGTCTGGAAGGGTAGATTGAAGGCACCTTGTGGAACTTAGTGGCACAAGGGGAAGGATGTTGTGTATGGGGAAAAAAAAGCTACTTTACAGAAAAAGCAAAATCCAATTATGACTTTTAAGAAAGAAGTTTTGAGGTGGAATGGACCGAAGAGATCATCTTGTCCAGTACTTTAGTCTATAAATGAAGAAAGTGAGGCATAGACTAGTAAAGTGATAAGCATTATACAAGGACTCCCAAGTCATTCTGATGAAGTAAAAAATTATAAATGAATAACTTTTGAATGTCAGAAGTTAGCTTTTATATGCATGTGTGTCAGTATGTTTGTATCTTAGTGATAATTTTATTTTAAATTAAAAATATATAGTCACTTTCCACCATAAAATTGATCAAAAGAAACTAAGGATATTTCATATAACTTAAGAGAATTGGTAAGAAAAAACAAAGATTCCAGTAGATGAATGAAAAATCACCAAGTGAAAATTCAGATGGCTAAAAATTTTGATAAAGCATTTGTGCTCACCAGTAATCATGAAAATACAAAATAAAATATAATATATAATTCCTCATTATCAAATTAAAGTCTTCAGATTTTACAATATTTACAATTTGATACTGGAATTCCCAACTAAATTTGTACAAACCTTTTGCAAAAGAGTTCTTCAATATCAACTGAAGCCATGAGTTCATTTCCTGATTTACCTTTGGGTAGTTCACCTAAGTCAACAATCACAATTATAGGCTTTTTTGTGTATAAAGTTTCTTTTGCTACTTGTCAGAAATTATACCTACAAACTATCATCTGTCTATCTAGAGGCAGATGGTTAAATACATGATTTTTTTTATGAGTTAAATGGGAGAGTTTATTGAGATGGAAAAGTAGTCAAAAGTACAGCTCCCAAAGCTGGGGAGGGTCCCAATAGAGGGTGCCCATAAATTATGTTTTAATCAATTGTAGTAATTAAAAACTGTGCTTACAGAGAGCTTTAATAAGATGGGAAAGTCATTGCAATAAGTAATAAAGTAGGTTACAGATCTGTATTTGTGACAGGTTTGCTGTCAGGTAAAACTTCAGGGAAACTGTAATGTAGTATTAAATATCAAGTGTGAGTTTTCTTTTAGTAGTAGAATTATGGGCTTTTTCCCTTTTTAAAAAATACATTCTACACAGTTGTTCTGCAATGAGAGCATGTATTTTGTTTTAGTAAAAAACCAAAGTGAAACTTACTTTGATATTCAGCTTAGGTATTTCTAAAGTGTGTCTGATTTATATAGAGAGGATAAATTTATTAAGCCACTTGCTAAAAGCTATCTAACATGATTACTTTGTTATTCAACAGGATGTACCCTTTATATTGTCTGGGCCACTCTCTACCGATGTGCCTTGGATGTAATGATCTGGAACTCTGTGTTCTTGGGTATCAACATTTTGCATCTTTCATATCTTTTGTACAAGAAAAGACCGGTAATTACTAAAATTATTAAATAAGGAAGTGATTTTAAATGTAAAAGCTTTTTGAAGTAATTTGTTCAGGTTTGAGAATGAGTATTTAACATCTTTAATCCCTTCAATATCATTTCTCTGAAGATTAGACTTATATATGCCTAAAAGCAAAACATTTGAGAACTGTGAAATTTGTTCTACAAATAACTTTTAAAACTTTAAATCATTAGAACATGAAAAAATACGAATACTATTCTGGGTTTATTTCAGTCAGATAACTTGATTACTTCTTTGCTGATACTCAAATATCACTTGAGAGTATCTTTGCCTAGTTATAAAATTACTAATTGATAGTCAACTACCATGTACATGCTAATGATTTGCAAATAGTTCATGCTATTTTTTAATGTAATGACTATATTTTTTCTTATGCCTAAAATATTCACCTCAGGAAATCACCTTTTTTAGTGGGTAGTTACCATAACACCAATATTTAGCTTATTTTCAACTCTGATTTATCTTCTTAGGTTTCTTTGATCATACCAAGAACAAAAATAGAGTAGGGCTGGGTGTAGTGGTGTATGCATGTACCCAGCACTTGGAAGGCTGAGTCAAGAGGATCTCAAATTTGAGGCCAGCTTGGGCTACATAGTGAGGTTGAGGCCAGGCTGGGACTACATGCAAGACCCTGCCTCCAAAAAATTTAAAAAAAGAGTGGGAAAACAGAAGGGCTCCTAGAAATCACTGCAAGCATGTTTATGGGCTTTCCTAAGTACTAGCAAACATTTAAAAAGGTAAAATATATAATGCTTTTATCCTAATGCACAGGAGACTACAGTTTGATACACACACACACACAGTAGACATTCCACTAGACCATAACCTCTTTAAAGACAGTCCTAGTCTGTGTTGCCTTTGCTGTATCCATTAGTCTTCTGGGTTAGGCTGGGTAATAACCTGAAAGTCTTGGTGATACATAATAGCAATGGGCTTTTTTCTCACCCACCTTATAAATTGACTCTTGAAGCTGTATGCCAGCTGTGATTCTATTCTATTACCCTATTTATTTCAGGGTCTCTGCTGTAGCAGCAGGTTTTCTTTGGACCATGCATTCTTATGGCAGAAGGAAAAGTACAAGAGAATAAAAGAAAAACACCCATTGTCTCTTAAAACATCTATTTAGAAGAGACATATGTCACCTCTCATATTTCATTGACCAAAGCAAGTATCATGATCAAGCCTACTAATGTGGCAGGTAGTGTAGTGTAAGGGGATACATAATCTTCTCACAGGGGTGGAACAGCAAATAATTAGGAACAGAAATATAATCCAGCACAATTGCTGTTGTAGCTCCTATTCCTGTCAGTCATGATTGGCATACTGTAGGAGCTCAGAAAAACTTCTCATAATTGGTTGCTTCCAAAGAGGAGAGGAATTAAGACTTCATGTCTTCTTTTCATAAAGAAAAGAAAAAATTGGGTCTTGAGCTGAGGCCTGAAGGATTGAACAGAATATGAATATATGTTCAGATCCTATATTCCTTCTGTGCCACACTGGATAATGCACATGCTGGAAGTAGGACATATTCATTAATAAACTATTTTAAATGTTCACTACTAGAGCTCTGGAGTTAGAAGATTGGGAAGATAGATGATTATAATAATAAGGATGACAGTTCCAGAATATCAGAACTTTCTGGAACCCCAAAGTACCAAGGTTCCTAAGTTGCTGATGTGATTGGTAAAATAGGTAAAACTCAGTGTCTGTGCTTTTGTTTCTTCTTGGACTATCAACCTTCTTTTTTGAAATATATAAATGCTGGTTCATTATCAAGGTGAAACACCAGGACAAATAGGATCATTGCAAATGCTAGCGTGGCACTGGGTGGGAGCAACTCCTGGGCCATGGTTCTGGAGGATTTGCAGTGTGTCTATCATAGCTTTCACTGGGACAGAGTTTGTTCACAGTACCGCACAGTTTTCCATTCACCCAGAGACAATTCTTGGCCTAGAAGAATCTGATAACAGAGGCAATGAGCCAGTTTGTTTTTCTGTTCCTCCAGTAGCCAGTCTTATTCACCAATGGGTTCTCCAGTCTGCAGAGTTTATTACAGTTTAGGATGAAACTGCTAACACTGAAACTCTTACACCCTTTTATCTTCCTTTACTTTGCTTGCTAAAGTAAAGCAGTGATTGCAGCTGTGTGTTTGTTTTTCTTTATTGGTGCATTAAATACTTACATAGAGATAAAGTGTAGTATTTTGTAAATTTGCTTTCCCATTGATTATTATTTTTGCATTTCTTTTTTTTTTCCTATAGTATTTAAAAGTTAATGAGGTTTCTTCCTGTGAAATAAAGATATTGTGTACTTAATAGAAGGGGTTAAGGTGGTGTGTTGTGACAACATCCAAAACTTTAACAGTTGTTTTATGGCCAGTAGAAGGAAGTGTGATCAGTAGGACCAGTCTTCTTCCTTATGCTCTCCAAAATGAGTTTACCTGCAAAAGCACCCTGTTGGCAAATAAAAGATAAGTCTTTGTGTAAGACTCCATTGATATAAATTCAGAAGGGTGATGGTGTGTGTTGCAGATTTGTTTATTCTCAGAAACATATTTAGATCACAAGCATCAGCATTTTAGGGTGCTGCTCCTGTACAGATCTCGTTATTGCTGCATTTCAGGTCAAGATTGAAAGGGAACTCAGTGGTATCTACCGGAGATTGTTTGAGCCACTCCGTGTGTCTCCAGATTTGTTCAGAAGATTAACTGGGCAGTTTTGTATGATCCAAACCTTGAAGAAAGGCCAGACTTATGCTGCAGAGGATAAAACCTCAGTTGATGACCGTCTGAGTATTCTCCTGAAGGGAAGGTAAGTGCTATGTGGAAGTAGGAACTGGGAGTCTTTTCATGGAGTCTAGGCAGGAACTGAGTAGATGGAAAGGTTGCCAGCCAATGGAGGAAGCAGCCACAGGGTGCACTGTTGGAGAAATCATTTGACAACTGAACTTTGAAATGCTGTGGAGCAACACGTTACAGTTAAGTATGATGTACTGCTCTGAATCTTGATACCAAAATTTTCGATAGTGAATATTTTTAGCCATTTTTGACTTTTTGATTAAAGTTAATGCATGACAACTGAAGTAGGTTTTCATCTGGCATTAAAATTCAAGAAGCTTATGCATACCACAGAGGTGATTTGCTTACTTTTTGAGTATCACAAAAATGTAATTTCTAAGAATATGAGTATTCTGAGGAGACAGCCTGTGTGTTGTGTGGGTATAATTGTTATTTTTGTTTGTTTGTTGTTACTATTTTAGATGAGGTCTATTTATGTTGCCTACGCTGGTCTCAAACTCCTAGACTCAAATGACCCCCTCCCACCTCAGCCTCCCAAGTAGCTGCCCAGCTTAAGGCATAATTTTATTAATAACATACCTTTCCCTCTCAAAAGTGTCTCAGTATGACAAATGATAGTCAGTCTAGCTGTAAGAGTGATGATAGCCATTATAATGAAGCCACTATGTGTTCAATACTGGATGCTATTTTTTCCTTACATTATGTTTTGAAATAAATACATGTGTCTCAGGAAGTGCTTTCAATAATGTCTGTCATCTGTGGAATCTTTAAAGGTAGTACAAAATAAAATCCCATTAGGTTATGGTGGCTTTAAGGATTGTCATGTTATTTGTGAAATACTGTTTATTAATATTGGTTTCTGTTATTAGGATGAAGGTCTCCTATCGAGGACATTTTTTGCATAACATTTACCCCTGTGCCTTTATAGATTCTCCTGAATTTAGGTCAACCCAGATGCACAAAGGTGAAAAATTTCAGGTATGTTTTGGCATGAATTTTAAGATTGAAACTACTTTGTTTCTCACTCAAAGCCCAATAAATATTAATAGAAAAGTGGCCATGATTTATTGCAAACAGAGGTTACTACGTGGTATACATATTATAATCCCATTTTTAAAAAAAACTTAAAAGACTATGTATCTGTGCACAAGTAGAGATCTAGAAAGATATATCCTAATTTAGCCATGGTACTAACACTATTATTTCCAAGTTGTGAATTTGCTTGCTGTGTTATTTTGTTCGTTTTTTTGCTTATTTGAATTTCTATAGTTTTTCTGTAGAAAACGTGTAATGTTTTCATTATGAGAAAGGAGGAAAATGTCAGTTGTAGATAACCAGTGTTCCTAAAGCATGGCATTAATTATTTTTATTAGGGAAAAACAGAAAATTGGCTTGTCCTAAAGAATTTATTTTATTAATCTTTATGAAAAATATCTAATCACTTTGCCATTTTATACTAAATGAAAATGTTTAAGGGCAAAGAATGAAATTCTTCATAGTAGCAGGAATTTGAATGTGGACTATTCAGTGTAATTCTTTTTGTACTTTAAAAAAAATGCTCCATTTCGTGGCACTTGGTTCTGATTTTTTGTGTAAGTGCATCACCTTCCTTATTGTATTCATTACTGGTGAGGAAATAACCAAGAATATGGGTGAGAATTTCCTTTAGTCTCAGCCTCTAAATAAACAGCAGTAAATGCCATACAACTTGTGATGCCATAAAGTGGAGATAGAAAGGAAATTTCATAGGCACATGGTTTAGTTTATTTCACTTATTTCACCCCTGCCCCACTACCACCTGCCTACATGACTGGCCTGGTTTAGGCAGCTTGTTAGAGTTCGGTGCTGTATACTTAGAAGGTCTCATTTGAGTTCGCCAGCTATGTGTAATACTCTTCCCATACTGGCTGCACTGAACATACAGAAGGAGAAAGCCAATGCTGTGTTCTGGCTGTCCTAGTTTTCACTGTCACCTTGTTATTGTGGGAATCAGTTAGGCCCTGAGATTTATGTTCTAAGAATAATAATATCTTTAATCACCAACATTTACAAACTGGGGCAAGACCCTTCTTTCTTCTCTCCTTCTTTTTTCTGACCTCCTTGCAGATGCCTCTTCTAAAGCCCAACACTGATCAGTTGTGTCTCCTCCTTTGTGTATAGTAGCAGGTGGTTTCATAGGGTAACTCAATCCCCTATTATTTTGACGGGACCAGGATTCTTGGGTGGAAACTAAACCTTGTTTCTAGAAGCAAGTGAGGGCAGGTATGCAAACATATGCTACCTTTGCCACTGGAGTTCAAAGTGTCTTTATAATTAAGTTAACAACAACAAAAAATTCCTACCATGAGGTACAGTTTCTTAGTGACTAGGGATTGGATTTTTGTAGTTGAGAATTGTTCCTGACAACTAATGCGAAAATTCTAGAACATGACCAAAATTGAGGTACCTGATGAAAGACCCTGATTCATCCTTTGGTAATACCAGCAAGCTTTTTCTCTGCACAGAGCCTGGTGTGGCATTTCATAATTGTCCAGTGAATGAAAACTACATTAGCATCATTGAGCCTGTGCCAGTACAGGCAGAGCAAACACCATCAGAGAAAACCCTCAGGAGAGATTGTGCTTTGATTGTTTACAAAACATTCCAGTTGGCAGATACTCAAGAGTCAAAAATAGTTTTTGCACATCTGTGTAAGAGTGCTAAAACAATTTCCCAAGTGAACTCCCAGGGTCAATGTCTTACCCCTCTGTGACGGCACAGAGGATGCTTAAAATGTGAGTGGTTACATGTCACCCATATGCTTTTACCCTCTAATCTCATCCTTCCCTTACTCTGCCTGGAAAGGAAGCATTCTGACAAGAAGCAACGTCCCTTGATTTTTATTTCTTTAAATTCATGCTGTGCGCAGGGTGCTGATGAACTTGCAGTATGACAAAAGGAAGGTAGAACAGGCCAGTGGCCTCAGTGACTGTGACTTGAAATTTCAGGGCAGCAATAGAGTTGCTCAGGTAACGCAGTAATTAAAATGGTAATAGGTGCAGTGGAGAGGAAGAACACAGATCCTGAACTTCAGTTCCTTCTCCCTCTGTGTTGTGGTTATTTTGGTACTTACCGACGAAAGCTGCTGCTTATAACTGTTGATAGAATCTTCGCCATCATTATTACAAAGGCAGTGTTTGTGCTTGGTTTGGTTTTCTTTGTGCACTTGTTTCATGTAAGTGAGCAATAGATTACACGTTTTTTTCTCTTGTACTCCATCTCATGCTGCTGCCTTCCCATAACCTGAGCATGTCCTGGTGCTGCAAAGCCTGATAATCAGTTTCGCTGACTTTAAGGGAAGAGAAATGTCTTGGAGACTTATGTCCGTGCTCTTGTGAAATAAATGAACACCAAGTTTTAACTGGTACTTAAAGAAAATAGTACCTTAATATTAAGTAAATACTTACAGAACCGTAGGTATGTATGCCATAATGGTTTTGAATGCATGTCATTTGTACAGTTGATTTCTATTTAATAAAATACCAGGGAGCCAAAAAAAAAAAACTGAGTAAAGATTTCAGTGAAGCTGTAAAGCAGTTTAATCTGCCAATTTAGATTCTGCTGTATTTTAGTGCTCATGAGAACTCAATAAGCATCAGTTGAATGCACACTTCTGGGACATTTCCATGTTCCTGGTGTATGAAATCTCCGATGGCATTTATGGCTCGACTTCCTTGTATGAAAAGCTATATAATGTAAGAAAGTTACAAATTCTGCCCTCAGACCAGTTGACCAATCCTGTCATCAGACTGCTATTTCCATTCCAGTTCATGTAGAGATTCCCTCAGGCACCCTAGTCTCCCAGGATGGAGTCCTCTGTCTTCTCCTATGGCAGGATGTAGAACTGGTTTGGAATCAAGTGTGAATATCTCAGTCCAGTCAGTGCACTGAGATAATCACAGCAAACACAGTTGTAAACATGTAGTTTCATTCTCAATCTGAAAGATACTCTTTTGTGTCTTGCATGGCGATATTTGCTTCTATTTCTTTAGTGCAGTTCTTCATAAGAAATTAAACATGACACTGCTGAAGTACCCTAACAACATAAGAAGTAAATTTATTTTACAGACACTTTAAGCATTCTTGGGCTGGAGGAGTGATTTAAGCAGTAGAGTGCCTGCCTAGCAACTGTGAAGTCCTGAGTTCAAACTCCTCATCCCCCCAAAAAATAAATAAGTTAAGAGTTGTTATCAAATTTCTCCTTTCTATAAGGACCTAGTCATATTGTACCAGGAGCCCACCCCAAAAATTCTCATTAAAAATATACTTTACTTCACTGTTGTGATGAGAAATCACTAAGCTGCCTATTTGGCAGAAATGAAGTTAGCTGTCAAGTAAAATGGCGTCAGTCATCACGCTAACTACTGGCTTCCAACTACATGCCTGCTTTTATGGACCTGTAAATTACTCATGTGTGCTGTAGATAGAGTTTATTATTTGAGTGTGTTATTAAATGTATATTTGGTAATCATTTAAGCAGGTATAGATAATTTTCAACTCTTAAAAAATGGATTTGTGGTACATGTGTGAAAAGTTGTATACAAATTGAAATGTCTGTGTGCTGATCCTCAACACAATAAAATCGCAATTGTGAAAGAAAAAAAAATGGATTTGTTGGTAAAGAGAAGTTAAATGTCTTGTGTGTCCCTTGAGTAAAAGTTTCTCCTGGATGTTTTGTAAATCCTGTTGTAACTTCTTGCCCTTCTGTATGTGAGTTGTATTTTCCAGTCACAGATGACATCTGCACAGTGAAGGGACTTCAATTCTTCTTACCCTGTCTTTCACACTCAAGTGTGTGGCTGGCACAGGTGAATACCTAGTGTCACCTTCTGTTATTTCTCTTGTGGGACATTTTTTGGTTGCCTTCTATTTTCCTACCCACCTCCTACTGTTTCTAGGACTTCCTCAGGGCTAGTTTGACCTTAATTCTTCTTTTCCAATAAATCTTGCCATCTTTGGTAACATTTTTTTTTTATCTATTAACAGCTTCTTTACTAGAATGCAGACATCATGATATTATGTTTAGTTGTTCTTTATTAGGGACTGTTAATGGAGTGTGCAGCCAACCTTGGGGTCACTCAGCTAAATGACTTTCTCTATGATTGTTCTGATGAATATCAGTTGCACTGAGAAGGATTTGGCCTGGTGGGAAAATGTCTAGGCTGGCAGTCAAAAGTGCTCAGTTCACCACTAATTAGGATGTGTTTGTAAGTTTTTTGATTTTTCTCATTTGGTATCAGACAAATGGAGAATATTACCTGTGTTATTTTAATGGTAATTTTAAGGATCCGCTTACATGATAGAATTAAAAGCACCTTAAATATTTAAAAGAACAATATATTTATATAAAGTAAGTGGCATTATGTATAACTGTCCTTCCCTGGTTATTCTCTACCACTTTTACCTGTTCTGTGTTTGTCAAAGCACTTACTGTCAACTAACATTGTCGTATTTCTTTATTTATCATCAGCTTCTTCCACTAGCATGAAGGCTTATGGAGCAAGGATCTTATCTTCCTTTTTTCTTCTTTCCTCCCTTGTTTTTTAGAGACAGTGTCTTGTTGTGTGGTACAGACTGGCCTCAAATCCATGATCCTCCTGCCTCAATTCCTGAGTGTTAGGATTATAGGTGTGTACCACCACGCCCAGCCATTGGATCTAATCTTTCTTGTTCACCATTGTAACCTTAGTGCTTTGAACAGTATCTGCCATAAAGTATGTTTGTGATAATGTATATTGAAAGAATGAGTTAAATTTAGTGTTTTATAGTCTTAAGGCTGCAGATTCTTTTTTAAATCTGAACAAATTTGGCTTTGGCAATTCCTACTTTTAATGTAATAAATAAGCCTATACCTTCTTTTTCTGGGAATGTTGACCCACTTAACCAAACCCTCTAATTTGCTAAGATCAGATTTCAGACTACTGATGTAAGGAAAGAAG